GAGGTCCGTTACTGGTTGGCGTAAGAGCTGCAGCGGTGACCTCAGCACCTGCTGTGTGTGGCAGGGTCTTTTATCCCTGTTTTTCGGGATTACTGCTGGTTACAGCATCTGCCTGGTTGGGTAGGTAACCATAGGGTGTGTCAGCTTCATTATAAACAACAAACGTGTGTCTCAAACATGGAACCCCCTTAAGCATTAGAAAAATGTGCCTCTAAACATTCAAAAGAAAGGGTGATGAGACAATGGGAACAGGTTCCCTAGAGCAGTTGTGGAGTTTCCTTCTCTGAAGGCAGAAAACCTGGTGGGGTGTGTTTCTGGCTGGAAGCAGGTTGGGGTTGGACTGTGCAGTCTCCACAGGTGCCAACCTCAGCCATTCAGTGGTTCTGCATGTGTGCTGCTCTAGCCATGTCAGGCTTCTGTATGAGTGAACTCGTTGCAGTAGACCTGGAACCTTGGTCCAGGCACACTTAGTGTTTTTATTGTTCTTGTGGAAGCCTCTTCTGAGGCTTTGGAGCTGGCTCAAATAACGTGCTGATCAAGTAGAAAACTTAACTGGAAGAAAAACATATATTTTTATCTAGATCTGTGAATACTGGGGTAGGCAAGTACGATGCAATAGAAATGTGCAACTGAGAGCAGGGTGGTGGTTCTTAGCAACGCTTGCACTTAGTTGTGTAAAAGTTGTAAAGTGGCATTTTGAATCACAAAACAGTAGTGGGCTAGTCTGAATCTTATCAGCAGGTTTTTGGGTATGTGATTGAAGCTGTTTCTTAACTGAACTGGTGAAGATTTATCTTAATTAGGTATTGCAGATTCCTGAACAATTGGTTAAAGTTTGCCTGTGTTGAATGGTTATGTAGGCAGGACTGGCAGGTCTCTTTTTTTATAAAGTGCTTTCATGGATTTTCTCTTTTGTCATCATCATCATATTGACTTCCCCCCGTGTTTAAATTTGGTTGAACAAACACTTAAAATCAGAAAAATTCTTCCCTTCAGAACCTCTCATTTCTTTGTCTGCCCTTGTATCACCTGCCTTGTACCTTAAGATACAGTGCTCTGAATGTGCTCATTCCTCATGTGTCTCCACTGTCTGTTGAATGTCCCAAAAGCAGGTTTAATAGCTGTTAATGGAAGTTTGAACATCAGTGTGATTTTGCTGTTGATCCTGTCCAACTGACTGTGGCACTGGTTAACTGTCCTGTGTTGCTTTTTAGGACAAGCAGCCATGGCAGGTCATGACTCGGGATCTCAACACCAGTTTACTGGGTTTCAGAAGTACTTCAATTCCTATACCATCACAGGCAGGAGGAATGTACGTATGTTAAGGCATATTAACTTTTGCGGTTTAATATAATGGTGTTTTCTGGCTTTTTGACTGAAAGAACTTTCCTTTTATGTTTTTCAGTATGTAATAGCAACGTACACAGGTGTTGCAATGCTTGTCTTGTATTTCAAGCTTAGACCTAAAAAGAAAACTCCTGCTGTGGCTGATAAGTAAATGGTAAGTGGGTGGTGTTCTTCCAGGATGAAAATGATTCAGTGCCAGCTTGGGAAGAAAGACTGACAAAGGACAAGTTGCTGATAATACAGTATAATTCAAAAGATAAAAACGGGCACATGAACTTCATATTTATAATTTTAAACCTTAGCTAAACTATAGCATCAGCTTATCTGGGGGCATTCTGAGTGAAGCATGTTGTTAAAGGGGGGTGCAGGAAATATGGCATATCAGTATTTTTGAAGGAGGAATGGAAGGATCTAGGTATATTGGACTTTACCTGCAACTGTTAGGTGCTTCTGGTCTGCCCTTTCGCTGTAAAATCGGGATAATCTTGCTTTGTAGGGTGTTGAAATAATTAAGTAGTACTTGAGGACTTAGTTCTTAGTTGTATTAGAGAATTCCAAGCAGGGATCAATGCAGTCTATTAAAACCTTCCTCTGAACACAGTAAAGGGGCACCATACAGTGGAACTGTGTATATTGCACACCTGATTATGCAAGGCCCATATAGAAGTGATTGGACTTCTTGTTGTGTAACAAAAACCAAATGGTGGAAAATTCTAGAGTCACTTTGAAATACAAAATTTCCACTGAAACAGCATTTTGAAAAAAACTATGGGCTGTCCTCATAGTCTGCAAAAAGGGGTAGAAAGCAATAAGTTTCAGCATCATTGTTGTATGTTGAAGGGACATCAGTAATTTCTTCCTCATTGTGCTGAAAATTCTCTGCTTTTAACTAAAATTGCTTGGGTTAAGGGGGAGGCTCAGTTACTGGTACCACTGTGCAATACTTACGTTTGACCTCTTGTCTCTTGGCAGGTTCCTGGCAAGTCTGAGCCTCCCATCCATGTCAGTGTAATGCATGCTGATGACCTGTTGTGGCTAATAAAATATGAATAATTACTTGTTTTATTGGATATATGAAATGGTGGGAAAAAACAAATGTGGCATTTTGCTTTCCTTTTCTTCTGTCAAGATTAGCTATTTGTAGTGGAGATGGAGTAGCTGATTCCTGTCATTACTGTCTTAACTCTTCTGCTGTTACAACACATCCTAAAGTGATGTGAGCATCTGGTAGTAACCTAGGAAAGACCTCAGGAGGTCTAATACTGGCACAGGATTACAGCTGACCAAAGCACTTCCACACTTCCATGTCAGAATGGGTAAGAGTGACCTTATGTTGTCTGCAGTCACTTGGTTGCTCCTATTTTTTGCATTCTATGCTAGTAACTTACATGGGAAGACTGACTTCTTCACTATTATTACTGCAATGCAGATTACAACTTCTGCCTCAGTTGTCCGTATTTTGCATACAACCTGTTTGGCTTTGGTGGAAAATGTGCCCAAATAGACTGATCAAATGATGGTATTTGACCTTTTTCTGTCACTGGATTTTCTTGCAGGAACTGCCAGAAAGAACATGGCTTACTTTGCCCATGTTAAGCTCTTATAACTGTATTCATAATCAACGAGTTAAGTAGTTCAGAGCTTCTTTTTCTGGATGTAGCTGCCTAATAAATGAGGTATTCCATATGGTATTGTCCATAGCTCAATTAAAATTCAGTATCTTCCTTAGATGATGCATTACTGCCACTGTGTGAATGTGATTACACGGGCCACCAGCAGGTATTTAACCTGGAATTTTTTATGCTAAAGCATGCAAATATACTTCCAAAACTGAGGGCATCGTGGGGTCTCTGTGCTTTCGTACTCTAGTTCATGGACTCCTAAAGCCACTTGTAGCCGTTGGGCCTTCTGAATAAATCTACTCATCTAGTTGTCTTCCTCTGGTATGATTTTGTTTGCATAAGTGGCTGCTGCTATATACAACTGTCCAGGGGAATAATGGTTTTTGTAACAGTGTAATAGATGTAATTAGCTAGAAGCCATCACCTACCCTTAGGAGAGGTAGGTAAAAGTGCTGGTCACCAACTTAACCATTTCTGAATTACTTTGTTTCTCTTAGCATTGTGCTCACAGTTACAAGCACTGCTCTTGCTTCCATTGCAGCCATCAAGGAAAGAAAATACCTTCTTGTAACATACAGACACAAACTATGCAGTTTTAGTATTTATTATAATATCAAAAGTATAAAACTGTACAAAATGCAAAGGCAGAATGTGGCAGTGTTTTCTTTAAGCTGTCAAAACTGTACATGTTTGCTTTTTGGCAACTTGCTTGATTCACCATAATTGTACGTAAATCCAACAGATCATACAGAGAGCTAGGAAATTTTGTTGAGGTACCATTACACAAAAAACCCCCCAAACATTATAATTTAGTTTTAACCTTTTTCTTTACAGAAAATTTCCAGCTGAGCTTCCTAATGACTTTTCCACTTTATTTTGATGTATAATGCCTTGAATAGACCTTTACTCCACAAGTTAGCCAGAGGGATGAGAGGGGAAGTAGTCCTCCATTTATTTTATCTTAGCAATGTCAATTCTCTTTATTTTCACTAGATAGCCAGCAGATTGTTCATGTTCAAGTTTCCAAGCCGTTACAGGAAAGTAATGAGGAACACAAGCTAGATTTCCCTGTATACAGCTATTAAGAGATTTAAAACAACCCCCCAAAAATAACTTAAAAACCCCAATCAAGCCCAATCCACACCAATCCAGGCTTATGCTTTGGTGGTGGTGTTTACTTTCCAAAGACCAGGAAAGAAGTTATACTTCCCAGTGTTTTGTGTATTTTCCTTAGAAATAAAGCACTGAGCTTTAGAGGCTGACCATGAGGAGTTACTGGGGCACAATGTTTCTGTGGGTGGAAACTGTTACTTCAGTTTGACAAGCTGGCCTCCCAAAAGCAAACTGAGAATACACATAGGACTGAATAATTCACTCTGCAATAATGTTTCCATGTCTTGGCTACTTCTACATTTTGATATATTAAATGTTATGCAGGTTTCTAAAGTCCTTTTGGATCTAACACAACAAAAGGTTCAAGTCTGCTTTTTTAATAATGGATATTTCAGTTGTTTCTCAGTCCCTTTCATTTTTTTTCATACAATAAAGTATGAAAGTAAATAAAGTTCACATTGCACTTATGGTTGCTTATCACTTACAGACAGCATTGGCTAATTGTGAAAACAGAATAACAAGATCTGCCTTTTTGATACCTCAAAAGAGCACACAAGTTTGAAATCTTTTCAGGACTTAGTATGTGGATGCATAAAACCCACATGTAACTTCAAGGCAGTTCCCCACATGTCTCTTGCCTGTAGGACCTACTCTTTCAAAGCCTTGTTTGTGGCTGTGATATTCTCACCATACCTGTTGTCCCGCCCAGGCTATAGTGAATTCTAACTTGCTAAAACTGAACAGTTCTTGTTTGTGTTTGAGATTGATCAAACATTTGCTAACCATAAATTAAGTGCTTTAAAAAATCATTGGAGAACACATACCAAGGCTGTTAAATTTTCACAGGTTTCAGCAGAACTCAATACTATCTCTGAGAGAAGACAGACATTTTCATATACATACACATATATTTATGAAAAAGCACCATGAGCAATTCCTTATTTTAAAGCCACAATGTCTTGCCAATCTCCAGCATTTTCAAACTGTGGATAAATATGAAACGGCAGAAATGAGAAGATGCTTCTTGTGTTAGTTGATACAGTTTCACTTTTCCTGCAACAGAGTAAGTTCACCTGTACAAGACATTCTGCCTCCTCTCACATCCTGAGGTCATAACTGCAATGACTCGGCACAGTCAGTCTCATCTTCCCCATTTACTGTGAACTGTAGGCACCTGCAGCCAGCAGCAAGTTCCTGCGTGTGAAATGGAGGTGCACGACCGGGGTTGATTTGGTCATGTATGTACCTAGCAACAACTCCTGAGAGTTTTCAGGCAAGTTTATATGTCCAGTGGCTGTAGTAAAGTCATCGGTTTCTAAATCTTCAAATGCTTTCACAGCATCCCACAGACGAACTGTGTTATCCATTGAACCTAAAAAGACAAAAAAGGATAACTGCTTTAAGTCTTTTCTTAATTAAAAAGGTATATAAGTTAGTGGGGAGCAAGTTAACAGAAATTAAAGCTCACAAAATCTTCATTCGTAACTGTCAGTTGACACCCTCATGCTGAAAGGACACAGACTTTAATAAGCCTCTAATATACTGAATGCACACATAAAAGTTACCAGGATTTCAGCTTTCCTGTGATCTAACCTGAATGCTTTGTGGTTAAAGCACAAAGAACTACTCTCTTAAAACACATGGGTTTGGATTCTATCATCTAGCACTGAAAAAGTAGGACCATCCTGTGGGCTAGATGCCAGTTTCAGGAAATGTTTATGATTCTAAGTCACATAATAACAGTTTCTTTACTTGATACAGGGAAGACAGCAGAATTTTGCAGGTCTAGTGGCCTCTGCTTTTACTGGAGCATTGATAGATAAATTGAAGTAACCACCAAACCTGTCAGACCAAAGCTGTACCCTGTCTATTAGCTTTCCCTGCTGCAGTAGTGGCTCACTGATGACTCTCACTGCATTGCATTTAGAAACATACTACTAAATAAATCTGGAATATTCCTAGCCTAGTTTAATGAAGAAATTAATATGATAATCACAGTGTCTGTCCATAATTCTCTTTCTGTCAGTAACTTGAACTTCCTGTCCAATTTCAACAGCTGACGGAACAAGCTTCAAATATTTCTATACATTTTAAGAGAACAGTTCACTCAAGATGGAGAGACAAAACTCTCCCTTCCACGATGGGAAAACTAGACAAATAACTCTGCTACATTAGACACCAGAGAATCCATGTGGACAGGAAGGAAAACCAGGCAGGCTTCACAAGTTCAGCTGCTCATGGACCTGATTGTTAATATTGCATGCCCATTTCTATATAAAAAATTTATCAAGTAGAAATACTAAGGGTTCAGATAACTCATCTTCCTTTCTATCCCTTCCTCTGTCTTCTTTTTAGTCCTGCTGCATGTCCCATTCCACTCCCATTCCAGTATTCTGTGCTTCTCTAGTCCAGCCACTTCTTGTCTGCCCTAGAATTATTTCTACCTTTAGATTCCACCTGTACACAGATCCCAGTCTTCACTATCATCTAACTGTATAACACCTTTCACTCAGTTCCTGGAACACTGAGGAGTCATACTTTGCAGTTCAGTGGAGTACTTGCCTGGTTTTCAGCAGTTTTAATTTACTACTTTTGCTAAGCAAATTATTCTACTTTGTCTTCCTCAGTTTAAGGAAGCAATTATATCATTCCTCTTTAAACTTATGGAACACAACAGAAACTTCACTGTTTTCAGTGAATTTTACCTGATGCTAAAATCTCCCCATCTCTACTGAATCTTAGCGCATAGATAGTGTCAGTGTGCCCCTTCAATTCTCCAACCATCAAGCCATGTCCAATATCCCACAGCAGAACTCTTCCATCTGTTGCTCCAGTAGCCAGGAATCGTCCATTGGGAGAAAATGCCAGTGAATGAATTGGTCCCTAAAACAGACATTTGGCAGGGACAAAACAAACTAGTTAGTTAAGTCTATTCACATTCAGTCAGTCAAGCTGTTTTCCTTCTGAACACTACTATTCAGAATCTTATCACAGAAATAAAATCACTTTCACACCATGAGTGCTATGCCTTTACCTTATGTCCAGTGAATATTCTTACACAATTCCCATTCAATACATCCCAGAGCCGTACAGTCCTGTCTGCTGAGCCTGTGGCAATATAGTTAGAGTTCGGATGAAATCGGGTACAAGTCACATCAGCAAGATGGCCAGCAAATATCCGTAAAGGCTGGTAGTGATCTGTTGCCCACAGCCTGTAAAAAAAAGCTTTATTAATAAAAAGAACCCTAATGAAGTTCAGTATCTGTCCCACAATGAGGAATAAAATTAAGTAATTATGCAGTGGTTTCTTGAATTATGCAGTTTATTGAATTAGCAGGGTCTGTTTTGGAGAAGTATACTTTTTAAAAAGAAGAAATAAAGAATACTCTGTCAAGTTATTAAAAAAACAATAAACAGATGAGAAGACTTATAGTCATATAAAATGACACTATCTCTCTAGTCATCAGATAACCTGATGTGTGTTGAAAATTTAAAAAAAACTACATTAGAACATTTGTTCAGTATTTTAATCAACATGAAATAAAATTTATTCCTGGCAATAATGTAGTCTAGAGTGTATCAGTTAATCACTTCCATGGCTAATCCACCACAAACTGACCCAAGACAAGTGAAAAACCCACCCAGTTTCTTACCGAGCCACTCTGTCATGTCCCCCTGACACAAAGTAATAACCGTAAGGAGAGAATTGTGTATCCCATACTGGATAGTTGTGTCCTTTATATCCCACCAAACATGTGAATGTTTGGAGACTCCACAATCTGACAGTACCATCCTCGGAACAGGACAAGAGGTAGTTCCTGTCACAGGAGAAAGTAAAGCATATTACATACCAAACTTATACACGGGCTGTATAACCATTGCATAAGCACTATGAGATGTCTATGGTGAGAAAAACTGTCCATTGAACAGTATTTTTTCATCATGCCACATATAAATCAGCATTTTGGTGGGGTAAGAAACAATAACCAACCCAAGCAGAATACAGTCCTAGCCCCTTATGCAAAAAAGACAGACCTCTGGATGTTGATCATTAATTCTGATAACACAACAACACAGAGGGGAGAAAAAACCACCTAACAACAAAAAAAAAAACAAACCCACAAAGCTGTTTTTTTGCTCAAGAATTCCAGTTATATGAACAGTATGACTAGTCAACTGCTATACTGTTACTTTAAAAAAAGTTTTAATAGAACTCAAAATTTCAGTATTCCCTGAAAGAGAATTCATATCACGTTCACATTCTCGCTTCATAATTACAGACTCTATATTCATGTTCCACACAAAGTTAATTCTTGGCTCTGTTTCTGTGATGGGTGTTTCCTAACTAGACAAATGCAAAACCAAAACTTTAGACATTTAAACTTCCTTTCTACTGTCCAAACTCTCATAACTACATAATAGTTTTAAATCTCAACTTTTCAAGATACTATTATGTCCTGTTTGAAAACAAAGTCTCCATAGAGTATGAGAAACTTCAAGTGCAATGATGTGCTACTTAGTCTGGTTTTGTGTTTTGCAATACTGTAATATTCAATATTGCTATAATATTCAATGAAATCAATGCTGCAATATTTTTCTTCTCTACAATTCAGTTAGTTAAAATGAGCTTAAACTACAGTTTGCAAAAGAGATGTTCTGTTCAGCCATTTAAGTCCTGAACCTCAAAAAAGATGCTGGTATCCTTCACTCCAGTTGATTTCAGTTAATAGCTGACAGTGCCCGACACCCTGAGCATAATGAATGCTTATGCTCACACTCAGTTTTTTAAGCTGCATAAACAAGAATTGATTTAACCTTCTGGAAGAAAGCTGCATTAAGAACATGTTTGCATTCAGTAGCATACAATTAAAACTCAAGACAAGCAAAGTAGTTAGCTTGTAAAATTATTTTACCTATCAGGACTGAAGCTGGTGCCATAGACAGGTCCACTGTGACCATATAAAATCTTCAACTCACTTGCTGTTTTCTCATCCATGATCCTCTCTAAGACATCATCTGATTCTTTGTCAATGAGACTGAGGTCTGCAATATTTCAAATATAATAACTGTCAGAACTTCAAAGATAAATGCCATGAACAGGAAATTAAAAAATACTCTCTCTGAAAGAGGCAAATATGATCAGAACATAACAAAGTACCTGGGTGTTGGTAAGTTTGAAATGTACAATGGCCTCTACAGCGTTTTTTACCACTGTAAAAGGTGAAAATAGTGCTTTACATAAATAATCACTCAAGACTTCTCTAAGAGCTAAAGTAAATTAATCCCAGTGTGTATTACTTTTCACACAGACATTGTTCAGCATCCAAACACAATTACATCTTCTTGGTAGAGATGCCAAATCGGCACACATTTTCCGGGAAGTTAATAACTCATAAAGACGTTTTTAATGTTTTAAATTACATGTTCTGTGTTTAAAAGACATGTCCTATGACTCTATGGTTTTGACAGCTGCACACTACACACAACTATAAGTAACTTTCAGCCCGGAGGCTACTGTTTGCTGAACATCACAACCACATTTCAGTTAAGTATCAAGGTTAAGAAACATTTGCGTGGTATCCAGCTTCAACCATAGCACACTGTAACATGAAGCGCAGAATTAAAGCAGTCTGGTTTCCATGGATTTGCATAGGTTTTGAGCTACAAGACATTTTCCTCCCGCCTTCTCAGAGTTTCCTCCTTTAATCTCCCCCAGGGTGCCTTGAGTCTATCCCCTAGATCCCCTAAACCCATCTGTCTATTATGGCCTGTAGTTACCACCCAGTTAAGAAGCAAGTTGGCTACTTTTTACATGAGTTATGGCTAGTTCCAAGCTCTATGCTCTGACCACCTAAACAGCAGGTAGGCACAACCAAACTTCTCATCTCTTAAAAATGTTTCTAATGGTAGGATAAGATGCAATCATACATCTGTGCACATACTGCTTCCTCAAAGTAAAAGCATCTAACTGCTGAAGACAACCCTCCAGCTACAGACATCTTTCTCTGTTCATACATAACAGCTGTCACGAGTGATGCTTGTGACACGTGCTCATCTTAAGTGTCATCGCCTTATTTACCTGCTGCTGTTTTCACACTACGTAGCTTTTTGGGAGTCACAGACCACACTCTGACAGTAGAGTCAGCAAAGCCTCCTACAATCATGCTAGAGTCATCTGTAATATCCACAGCAGTCAGACCCTGTACACAAAATATGCATTTATATTGTTTGTGTCCTTCATTATGCATTTCAAATACTACAGAACCCAAAACTAATAAGAAAATTAACTCGACTCATTTACAAAAATAAGAGGGAATTATTCTAGGCTAGACATAAATGCACATGAATTCTTGAACCATTAAAAATAAAATTATATGAATGAAGTACAGTCAATAGTGACAAAACAGTACTGTTTTCCAGTATTTTGGTGCAAAACATCATATATTCTGTATAATACACATAGGGCACCACAGGAAAAGTGAAAGAGGCAAAATCAGATCAAAAGCAAGGAACATGGACATTAAATAGCTCAAGGAGTCTTTAAATACAATTTCAAAGATTTTGGAACATAAACTTTGCAACACTTATTCCAAATGTTACAATTACCCTTGCCAACTCAGCTAAGTCTTCTCTCTTTATTAAGAATTATAATTTTTATTCCCTTTTCTGTATTACCCAGACTCTTCTTTTACCAACCTGGTAAGCATTAAGGAACGTGTAGAAACAGATGGAGGGCAGGCACTCTGGGCCAAGACGCACACGTCTTGCAGCTTCCTTCATATTCATTACTTTATCCAGCTTGTCAGAGTCTTTCAGTTCAGGCAGAGGAATCCTACAAGAAACACATATTTTTACAAAATAAAAGCATCTTCCAGATTGTTATTCTAAACAAAGAAAAGCAAAATCTTCACATGCAATCCTATGCATCGAATATTCAAATATGAAACAAGAACTAGAAAAACAGGAAAGGCTATGAAAAAGATCAACACTGACGAGAAAAAGAGCCAGTAGTTTTATGAATTTCAGAAAGGCAGAGGAACAAGATAAATGACTGAGTATGAGCTGAAGAGATTAGTGGGTAACTAAGTAAAATTTTATCAAGGGACATTTAGATTGATTTGAAGGTCAAAGACAGAGGGTTATATGCTGAGCTTTCTACTACCTTCCTTCAAAGTATTACCGCCAAAGCTGTGTACAGCTGAAAATGTTATGTGAACAGCAATGCAGATTTGGCACAATAAGACTGGATTTAATAAAGGTTCTCTAACATCATTTCCTTGGTACCTGTTTTGAGGTGGAGCATTAGGGTCTTGTTTTTTACTTTTTGACCCTGCACTATCTTTTTTAGGTTTTTTCTTCTTTGGCTTTCCTTCCTCATTTTCTCCTTCTTCATCTTCATCATCCAAAGGCACATCAAACTCTGGTTCTTTCAATAAGCCAAAGAAAACCTGCAAGCCAATAAAATACATGAGACAAAAGAGTAATTGCTGCTCACACTGAAAACTAATTTTTTAATGGAAACTTTTCAACATAATAGTCCAAGCAATAGAGCTGCTGCTTTAAAACTGCTTTTAGCATTACTGCCTACATTACTGGTTAGCCCATGTTCTGCTGTTCTGCCCAGCAACTGATCTGGACAACTGTAAGCTCCCCCACCAGCTCTTAGCACTTCCTTAAAGCAGAAACCCTATAGCTTACATGAATTCTTTGCATAGTAATGTAGCACTACGCTGTTAAGATATACACAAACAGTCCTTGCACTAACAACTGACAGTAAGAAAGAATTACATCTGTTGTACAAAAGAGGAAGCCAAGTAGTCCGGTGTCCATCTTAAAACCAGAGAGTAATTCAGGATTTAGTTCAGGTCTAGTTACGAAGTTGTCTCTCAAAGAGGTTCAACAGTTTCTTCTACCAGACAATGACACATCTTGATCTCCTTACACCTATTTGTACAGTTCTCTTTGTTCTGTTCATGCTGTCTTTTAAGATCCCATGTGACAATTGCAAGTCTATACTAACGTATCTCCCCTAAAAACTAGGGAGACATGTTCAAATATAAAAGCACAACAATCTCTCCCTCCTACCTTTGCTTTATTTGCCTCTCGTTTTGCCTCCCCAGCCAAGCTTCCAACCATGGCATCTATCTGTTGTTTACTGCGAGGCATTCCATCAAATATATCAATGTAAAGATGTTCCTGAACAATGTTCCAGATCTGATTGTTCTGTTTTTCCTGAAGATGCCTCTTCAAGAGCTGGTAAGAGTCACGGGAAATACGCAGCACAAACTTGCTTGTTCGGAAATCCAGCATGGTTTCATTACCTCTCATATGTTCTTTCTTGGTTAAGCTAGATAATACACGCAGGTCATCCTGGTAATAGCACTCCTGATCCCCATGAAATCTATTGACACAATTTAAGATATGATAAAAGGATTACAAAAACATTATCTCCTAAGTGCACACTTATTTACATTACTTAGATGTGAAACATATATGTAAGGACCTTTTGGAAGCTACTGACAACATATGGGATTATTTTCCTCTTTAAATAAATTTCAGCCTAGGGAAGAGACAGCCAGTGACTTACTATGTACTGTGGGAATACTCTACAGCTAAAAAGCATGATGAAGAGAATACACAAATGGAACCTCACAGAATTTCATACATCCAAATGGTTCTCGCCTGAAGCAGTTACACTAACATGTTTATTTACAGAAATGAAACTCTAATTTATGGTGTCATAAAGCACAGGGCATTTTTCATTATGTAAGACTACTTGGATGCACTTCTATCTGATTCATTAGATGAACACACACATTTCACAGTGAACATGCTTCTCACCCTCCACTTGCATCACACAGCCAACATATGTTTGGAGTTTTCCATTTTTATTCAAACCACGTTACAAAATATTTGTGCCAGGAAACATCTGAACTATTTACAGAACCACTTCTGCTGACCATATCAGAGGGAGACAAAGTTATCCTTTTGGTTTGTGTCCTGATTTCACTGGGATAGAATCACAGAACCGGTTTTCTATTCAGAAAAGCTGCATTTTTGAGAAGACTGCAGCACCCGGTTTAGTGAGAACAAAGTTGATAAGACACTTTGTTCTAGTTTGTGGCCAGCCATAGTGTGCTGGTTTCCATAATGAACAAAGACTTCAGCAGTTTTGAGCTAGCCATGTGTTGAAGCTAGGAGGAATGAAAGCCAGAGCAGCTGACCCAAGCTGGCCAGCAGAAGTGTTCCATACCATAAATGTACGACACACTCACTATAAATAGGAAAGCTTGCTGGGGACAGCTCTTTTTATTCAGTGGTCACCACTGCAGAAGAATCTCACCTGTCACTCTGCTCCTGAGGCAGACTCTCGTTTGCTGTGATCACTGAACTTTCACTAGAGCTGTGGTGCTTGCAGTGTTTGACATCTAGCATTCCATGCTGAGAGCACACAGCTCATGACCACTACATGGGCTGAGTACAACTTTATGTATTTTATATTAGTATTAATATCAGGGTTTTATTTGATTCAATCTGTTTCAATTTCAACCCATGGGTCTCCTTTCCTTCTCCCAACTCCCCTTCTTGGGTGGAGAAGGGAACTGACTAAACAAAGGGAGTTTAAAATATTTCATAACTGGTCTGAACCCAGAAAACAAATTACATTTAATTTCCTTCTCAAGTGATAAAGAAGTGAAACATAGTAAGAACAGAGAAAATTATATCTTGCCATAAATTAATTCCTTTAATTTCATTTGAAGAATTTCAATATCCATGCTATGCCATTAGCAAATACAGTGTACATTGGCATCTTGGTGCAATTTTTCAGTGCTAAAAAATAACCCCACATTATTTCCCTAAAGAAGCGGCATCTCTTCACTGATACCTTGCAGCAAGGAGCCCATCAGCTCACCATAAGGATGGCCCAAAATCTGTACATAGACAGTTCAAAAGCATGTAGTTTGCACATTTGTCTAGCACAGGAGACTGGCAAAGGACAGTAACTGTAATCCATGACACCATTATTGCAGATTCCAAATCTCTTCAACATTTGAGAAGAAAAATAATATATATGTATATACACACAAACATATGCTACTATAGCTTACAGATTTAATCAATTTAGCAAACACAAAATAATACACAAGTAAGAATAAATTACCTTTCAAAAAAAGACTTAGCTTCACTCTCATGTTGATTGTAGACCAATTCCAAGTACATGTGCACAAAGAGTGGATAAAACAGCTGAGACAATTCTGCTCGATGACAGTCCAGGGAACACTCAATGAAGTGTTTTAATCCACTGTAGTATTCCTCATAGAGTGTAGGGTCCCCTTGCTGATTGTAGGCAGACAATACTGCACTCACATCTGGCTGATCTTCCACAACAACGCCTCCTCCAACTGCAAAAGCATTAGCATATAACAAGAGCTTGTAAGACAGCTTGCAAGAGCTGGCAAATACACAGTGGCCAACAATCCTACTGGTAACGTGAAGCGCAAAACATGACGCTAAGTCTTGTGCTTGTTCAGCACTAAGTTTAAATGACACAAGTGAGAGGATGGTGGCATATTATAGCCCAGCAGCCAGTTCTCCTGGCACCTTCAGCTATTTTTTGCACCAAATTCAGCTAGGATTATAAGTGTAAAGGAAGAAGCCAGTAGCATCACCAAAACGAGTTACCTCTCCTGCTACGGCTAGAAACTCTCAAATAAAGCACGGAATCTTTCTGAACTGCAAGATATACCTACTATAATTATTTTGCTTTCAGTAGACAAGCTAATTAAGTTCATTAAGTGAACAATTAACCAAGATCACTACCCAACCATTAGAGGATAGTGAATTTTTGTCACTTGCTAACACTCTGAGACCTCTGTTCTCCATAGCAGTCGTTAAACGTGTTCATCGTTTTGTCCTCTATACAAAAACAATCGTACCAACTGATACCAGGAACAAGCTGACTTCATATATTTGCTGAAACTCAGACATGGCAGTTCCTGAAATGTCATTATACTGCTGTAAAGCTGCCCTACAGAACACCTTTATTAAAAATACTTTGACTCCAGTTACTCAAAGGAGAGCTCAAGTACCCAACAACTTGATCCAGAAATGTGTGATGCCTCTGCTACAAGTACCCTATGGCTCTTACTTCAAACTGCAGCCTGTAAATCAGGTCTCTGTTGCTATCCCTGCATCCATGTCCTGGAACACCACCTCTAACTACAGAGGAAACCTTCAGTCTCTTACTATGCTGTTAGACGAAATGGGACACAAAGGCAAGGGGAAGCACCTCTCCCTTTGACAGTGCCCCCTGCAAATACGATGGATACCCTACCCTCGGTCCCTTGCTCCAGGGGGAACACCCCCAGGAGATCCCGATCTCTTCCCGATGAGACATCCTGGGGTCTCTCAAGCGGCCTTCCAAAGGAGGGATGACCTGACACCGACTTTTGTGACTCAGCACACCGAGGGGAGGCACAGGGCACCCCCAGACCCCAGGGATCCCGCCGGGAGGGAGCGGCCCC